CCTTTCCAAGTCTGCTTGGTTTTCGTACATTTAAATATTTATGTATTTAAATAGCTTCCTGAATTGTGTTGAGACTCGTAGTCAAACACAACCTCTCAATTCACCTTTCCGTGCTGCCTCCATGCAATTCAGTTCCTATTTATCTCTGCCTTTTAAAATCAGCTCTTTTGCTGAGGAAAGCCTTTCAAAGGATGTTGCATCAGCCCATTGTTAAATAAACCTTCCGACTTTTATAATGGCTTCAGCATTTCCTGCTTTTTGTTGCTCCAAGAATGCTGAATGACGTGCAGACACGCTCCATCAGGGCAGGGCTGCTGGATCAGCCCCTTGCAATAATTCACTGATTATTCAAATAATAACTGTATGTCTCCAACATGAGTTCTATGAAATATATGTACATGATATGGGCAAATAAACCAGCCCCTTTTTTTCAACATGCAAGTCTTGATTTGAGCAGTGGGTTGAAATCTGTTGGATAATGAGACCTTCCTGAACTTCCCTACCTAAAAATGAGGCACCTGAGATTCAGTCGTTATTTTTGGGTAGTGTGTTAAAAATTGTCGGAAGTTTTGAAGTACTGTTTTCAAGGGTGATTGATTTAGTTTAGATGTTTGTATCCTACAGTAATTCCCATTTTGGAAGTGGGCTTTGGAAATGCTGAGCTTCATGAGCACCAGTGTCCCCTGGGCTCAAGCAGGAGGAGCAGTGGCCCTCCGTGTCGCAGAGACTCACAAGCGGGGACAGATAGGGGTCGAAAACAACAAATGCCAGAAATACGACCAAAAATCAGATCTCTGAAGTTAAGAACCTGTTTATTCCAGCTTTCAGGAGGTGAGTTTGTAATTTTGTTTCTGCTCTCTTCCCAAAGATATTTGAATGATTCCGACAGAAGCGGAAAACAGAGGGAGCACATTTCTTACCCTGCTGTGGGTGTTTGCTATGTCATTAGCACTCGGAGCAGAACCACCATGCAGAAATCCTGTCCAGGCAGGCTTAAAAGTAAAGGCAGAAAGAAGATATTCCATTTAATTACACACTGTACAAAATTTCTTCCATGTTCCCCCTCCTCCTGCTGCTTTTGGTTTGTAAATTATAATGATAGTATTTGCATTTCACCTTTTGGGGGGTTGTGTGCAGCACAGATTTGTGTGCGTGGACATTTTAGGTTATTTTAAATAGCAGATGTGCCCTGATCACTTTCTATTGACAGCAGTGAAGCTGGGCTGGAATTAATGATGGTGAAGTCAAAGAGAGCAGAAAAGGTTCTGGATAAATGGGATCAATTTAGGCTGAGAGCAAGAGGCTCCAGTGCCTCTGAGGAGAGAACATTACATAGTTAAAATGTTAAGTACCTGTTTACGTGTTTTATTCTCAAGTCATGGGCCCTGACATTACTCATTATTCTGCCCTTTCTTGGTGTCATAAAAACCTTGGGTAACTTAAAACAGCTTGGCTTCTTTTCAAGTTGCTAATATATTGCATGCAGAAGGGCCATCACACCGGGCTGATCCTGAGCTCTAGGAGGTACCTTGCTCCTCTTGTGCAGTTTTGGGGTAAGAAATGCAATATTGTAAGGCTGTAGAAATTATAGGACCACATTCTCCCTCTGCTTTCAATATTAGTTAAAAGGGGAGAGCTAATAGGTGCATGTTTGACCTAGGTTAGTTAGTACAGAAAGAGGGAATGCAGCAAGAGGCTGTTGTTTTCCCCACTCTCCTGGGTGAAGGCTTCTACTGCATTGATGTATTCAAAAACAAGAATGAGAAAAGTCTAGCTCAGCCTGTTATCATAAAATTATTGATAACAGCTGGCAGAATTTGGACAGAAACACAGAATTAGTCCCCAAAACCAAACATAGGCTTGCTGAACTGCGTGAAGTGGCATCTGGTGAAGGAGGGAGCCTAGCACCAGAAATTAATTGAGCAAAAGTGATGGGCTGGAAACGGGGCAGCAGAACTAGCAAGGGGCCGGGCTGTCCTGTCCCTCTGCCCTGGGCCCGGGGCACAAACCCGCCACAGAGCAGGGCTGCTGCAGGGACCCCCGAGCAGCCCCATCAGAGGGATGTCCTCCTCATCGCTTAGACTTGCATGGGCAGAAAATTACCTCAAATACAGCTTGGGGCTTCTGTTACTGCCTTCCTGTTGCCTACTTTTCCTCACTCCTTTCTGTTGTTTCCCAGACTTTTTTTCCCCATTTCCTATCCTGGTTGTGTCAGACGCGGAGCTGCTGTGAGTGTCCGATGAGGCAGGGCAGCAGCCACAACGTGTTGCTGCTGCGAGTGTGTCGGGCTGATAAGATCGTCCTCTGCTCGTCATTCTCTAGCAGGTGAAGCTGCAAATAAGAGGAAGATTTTTAACCGCGGGTTCCTTATTTTTCACTCTTTTTGCTCTTCTCTGCATTTCTTGTTTTGTGAGAACTTTTGTGCTTGCGCCGCCTTCAGAAAAACAGAACTGGATGCCGACAATAAGCTGCTTCAGCTTATCTCCACTAACTTTTCTCTCTGAAAAGACATAAATAACATCTTTAATATCCTCTGTGAGATTGGCAGGTGGGGAAGTTTTCCTTGCAGGGACTCCTAACAATTGAAGGAAACAAGCAGCATTTTTTGGAGTGAAATATTTATCTAATACTTTAACTTCCGGTTTTCATAGAAGGTTAATTGGGAATAGCTTGCCTTGGGACAAGGTCGTGCCTTGGCCATGAACTTGGGAGTCTCCGGTAGTTCAGGGAAGCAGGTTGGTGCAAACCCACAGCTGTGCCAGCCAGTTTGTTTCATGAAGTCGACACAGCGCCCTTGTCTCTGCTCCCAACTCAGGGACCTCAAATTTATGGCCCGGGTTGATTTTGGGGGAGGCTTCAAAGTTGGGAGGACACAGAAATGGCTTGAAATGCCCCTGCAGGCCCTGGGCTCCCCCGTCTTTTCTTCCTCCCGCTTCAAGGCCGTGGATGCTGGAGTCTCATTGCGTTCTTACTGAGGCCACCCTCAAGTCCCCGCTGTACATCAGGCAAGACCCTCAACTGAACACACGTCCACTGGCTCTCCCGCCTCCTTTTCCCATTCCACGCTCTGTTTTTACCCCCTCTGTCCATTGCGAGCCCCATAGACCCCCCGTTCACCACGGCAGGGACCAGCCCGGCATCCCTGGCCGTTCCCGGGAAGGCAGCCGTGATTTATCCGCCCTTGTCAGCGAGCAGGTGGCGGTTGGACTCAAGGCTGTGCCCGCTTGGCCTGTGATAAATAACATATTTACCAGCCCTTCTATCTTCAGCCGCTGTCCATATGCGGTCCAGAAAGCAGCACCGAGCTCTTATAACAAAACCCATCCAGCCTCCAGCAGCCTGGGAAACAGGAGTTATAATGAATGTTTTCCTGCTAGAAGTAGGTTGGAATTGAAGGCTGCTCCTTGTCCCGGTACCTTTTATTCACATTCCTGGAATTATCTGGAGCACTTGCTTTATCCCCAGCCATCTGTGATGGGCCAAGCTCGGAGAGATAAGCTCGGTATCAGAAAATTGAGGGAAGCATTTCTGGCTGTGATAATCTTATCAGCCGGCTAATATACATTAACATTTGTAGAGGCTGATGCTGCAGGTGGGCTTGTGCTTTCCCTCTCTTCCTGGATGCATTTTGACATGTGGTGGGAGGATGCAGGGGGTTAGAGAGGGAAATTCCACAAGAGCCTCTTCCTCCCACCCTGCTCCGTCCTTGTGATCCCAGAAAGGGGAAGGAGGATCATCCGAGCGGCCCTTTCCTGCCTCCTCTTCCCTAAGCTGCTGCCTCCTTTTTCTGCTATACATGAAGGGCAAAGAGGTGTTATACCAAAACTCCCCGTCTTGCTGAGCAGTGTCACTGTGCGTGTCTCTACATTCCCTTTCCTGGTAAAACTAGGGAATTTCGTGGTGCCTTTGCATGGAGTTTGTCGGCACGGTGTGGTTCTGCTCTCCAAGACTAATCAGTGCTGTTGGAGGGAATGGCAAATTAATGGATTATTTCCCCGATGCTGAGCACCGAGCCCTGTGTGGTCATACGCTTTGCATTTATAATTAAGGTAGGATTGCTTATTGTTTGCTGCCTGAGTGGAAAATAGGGTGTGCGTCCGTGGATTTATTAGGGGAATTAGTAATCAGGTGCTGAAAGACAGATGACAAAAGGAAAGCAGTATCTGAAGAATGAGTGAGAAAGAGGTTTAAGCTGGGGGAAGGTGCTGGAACAGGAATTGTTTGTCCTCTAAGCAGTTTGTCTCTGCTTAGAATTCATAAAGGTTCATTCTCTGAGAGAGAGGTTTAAAAACAAGTAATGTACATAGGGTTTTTTCCTCCTCTGTGCGTCGACTCCATAGCTGGATTAGGGATACGGAGGCCTCCCCAGCCAGGGGGCCTGAGCAGGGAAGAAGCTGAGTGAGAAGTTTTCATATCTTCTGAGTTGCCAAGTATTTTCTTGCGAGTTTCTTCTCGAACAAGGCCAGAGGCAGAAAGTATCCTTAATTGTTTGTTTGCTCTACCAGAACTACCCGAGCAGCCTGAGCCAGAGGTGTGTATTGGATAGTGTTGGAAATATTCCCCGATCTTTTGGATTCTGTGTATGAGTCCAGAGCAAGGCAGCGTAATTCCTAGGGGCTCATTTCTTTGGGGGGGAATTGATGCTAAAGGGAGGTTGAAGGGCCAGTACCGAATCTCAGGTACCAAGTGGCCCCTACTTCCAAACAAATACTCCTTTACCTCACTTTATCCAGAGGGAAAAGGTTGGGGAATTATCTTTTAGAGAAACAGAAGCTCTACTTGGAAAAAAACATCTTTCTATATTTCATCTACCTAGGAGAAAATGTTATTGGGAGGCAAAAGAGACTGCAAAAAGGGACGCAGGATTAACCAAGGCTTTGGCACGGGAGGGATCCAGCCTGGGCAGGGTGTCGTCGTTCTCCCTGCCTTCCTGTCCCATTCACGGGTCTCTAGTCCCCCTCATTGCTGTCAAATGGACTAATGTCTCTCCTCTTTCACAGCTGGAGGTGGAGATGAAGGTCCTGAAGTCCCAGGAGTGCACGACCGATCAAAGCGTCTTCATCACTAAGGAGGAAGTTGATGCCCTCAGGTAGGCATCCTGTTGAACCTCTGTGCATGCATGCAAAAAGAATATACATGTAGACTGCCTAGGTATATATTTATAGAGAGAGGCTACCTGATGGCCTACTGTTCAGTGAACAGTGTGGCAGCATTGATCAGAACACGTTTTCCCTGTATTTTTGAAACAGTGTGTTCTTTTTCCAAGCTCCCTTTTTACTTTCCTACTAGCCTTTATGGATGTAAGAAATCCATGAAGCATTAACAAAAAGTACCAGCTCTGAGTCTTTTCTGCCTTTAAATACCTTATAACCTTTTCTCTCTTTCAGCAGACTACTAGCTCTTTATATAAATCTGTTCGGGGTCTCTTACACTCCATAGTTCATATCACAGTGGCTTCTGCATCACTGTTTCTCCTATTGACTTCTTCCCCTGTGGAAACAGCACTGCTGTTTGCTTCTTTCTTTGACTCAATCTGGACTGCAAATACAGGATCTGTTGGCAAGTGTGTAAAGAGGTTTAGAATCCACCTTTTGTAATGCTGATATGCATGTAGCACTGCAGATAAAAGGGGGATGTTTCCCCTGGTGCATTGCTGGAGATGGCAGAGGGGTACCTGTTGTGATTCAGTGAAAGAGAAGTTACAAAACAGCGTTTCAGCAGAGGATACATGAGCATGTACAAAAGCCACTATGGAGCTAGACAACCTTTCTACGTATTTATTAAAGCATTTACAGCTTCCATTCCAAAGAAGATGACACAATAAATACTGAATGCAGAAAAGTTCATCTGTTTTCAGATGTTTAGTAAAATTCCTTTTATTTAAACTGAGCAAATCAATTAGATCTTGACAGGCCGAGCTTTTTATTCCCAGCTGATGTAAGACTTTGGCTGGAGTTTCTCCTCTTAATTCTCCTACATTTTCAGCTGCGGCACTATGAAGTGTTACTGCCTCTTAGGACTCAAAGCTGGCTCTTGCAGCAAGCAGTATCTTGCAGCAAGCAGAAATTACTGGCCTGGATGTTATGACTTTGCTCTTGTGCTTTGCCTCTGGAGCTTGTTTTACAGCTTTGAAAGCCCAGTTCCAGAGCAGAATGGGAGGTGTTTGAAAATAACACATGTTCAGCTAAGCTATTCCAATACGTTGTGGAGCTGTAAACCTGATCTTAGGGACTCACTCCGGGAGCGTCGTTCCCTCAGGCTGGTGCCGCAGCTCTGAGGAGCCAGGCGGGCGGCAGCTTTTGTTCCATCAGATGCTGGAGTTCTGGTAGGGGACAACACGCTGTGGCTTCCCTCTCTCCGAGCACAAATCTTTCTCCGTTTTATTTTGCTTGCTGTGAGTGGTCAGACCTGAGCTCAGTCAGATTTTGCCTTTCCGAGGGACACTAGACCCGCTGAAACCCAATGTTTATGCGGCTGCTGCTATTCAGCACCTCCTCAACAACATAAAACCCATCACTCCTGATTAATATTATGCCTCTCTATCAGTAAGAGCAGCATCCTGTTTGCCGTCTGCTGGGAGCTGAGGGTGTTCAGAGTATTTCCACAGTAACTCCTCAGTCTTTTCCCTGCACTGGCGTGGGCTGCAGCACCTTTTCATGTCGGAGACGTTCAGTCTCTTTATTTTCACCTCCAAGGCTCATTATTCAGTGTTTATCTTCAGTGAGCAGCGTTTGCCATCTATTAACTGAGCAGCTTCAGGGGCAGTGAGTGTAGGGGGAAGAGCTGCTTGCCACGTAGTCCAGGACTGCTTCACATTGACAGAGGGGATGGAGACGTCTGCCTCGCCCCGAATTACAGCCCGTTTCCTGCCCTGGGACAACGGGAACAAACCCGTGCCAAGTCCTTACGTTATTGTGGTGCTCTGTGTGTTGGGTTCTGCACAAAGCAAGCTCTAAACCCCACTATAATCTCTCTCCCCGCCCCCCCCCCTTCTTGTTTTCCCTCTTCTTGTTTAATTTCTTAGACCACTAATCTCATCTCTCTCTCCCCTTCATGAAATTGTGACAAGGTCTCCATAAAAAGTCTTACAGAAAGAGAGGCCCGTTCCCAGTAAAGCCATTAACGATGTGTAGCAATACACTGGAAGCAGTTTCGGCAAAGAGGCTAAGCTTCTGGAATTGTTTTTCTGTGATATTTTGTCTTTTCTTCTGTTTCCCATTTCGGTTCTGCAGGCTCCTGGGGCTACGGGTGCACAGAAACCACAGACACAGTATCTAAAACCAGATTTTTTTGTATCACTTTGTACTGAACTGCTCTTTTGTTGTTGTTCTTAGGGTAGACCAGATGATTTAAATACCTGTCCCAAGCCCTGATGCTAGTCGTTTAGCTACGGAGCTGTTCTAAAAATCATTTATTTCTTCCCTTTTAATCACCCTTTTGCTGCTCAGCTCTTGTTTTCTATCAGTAAATGGTTTGGTGCAAAGTGTTCTCTCTGCTGACTTTCTTGAGAGCTGCTAAGCCAGTTCTTGCTCCTTTTTTCCACACCGTTGGCTACTGTTGTTGCTTCAGGTCTCTTATCACACTCCCAAACACCCCAGCCAGCAGCACACGTTACTTCTCTGCATTGCAGAATTGACTTTGTATAAAGTATTTTTCTTGTGGGATTGGGCCTAATTTTGATTTTTTTCTGTCATATTCCGTGCATTGGCCAAGAACTTGGGCCAACTTCCATCCTTGCAAGGGAAAGCTCCCTTTCAAAGGGACTCATGAGCACTCACCATCTTTCCCTGTGCTTTGGGATGAGGACCATCTGCTGTGGTCCATGATCCGAGTGCTGTGGGCAGCCAGGTTGGCTGTGTCCGCTCCGGCAGCACAAGGGAGCTGGATAGTTGTGATTAAAGAATAGACCAGGTTTGGAGGAGAATAGGGATGAGTATGGCTAGAGATTAGGTTTGCTTTGCTCGTCCTTCTGCTGTGTCCTTGTGGGCCTCAACAGGAGCCACTAACTCAATTCTACCTGGTACCTGTGGAGCCGCTAGGAGCAAGAGCTCTACTGGGCTCCCTTCCTTCTGCAGGAGCTGTCACAAATTAATTGTGGCAGAAAACAGGGAGAAGATGAGTGCAAACTTCACAAATTGGAAAGTGGGGAAGGAAATCCCACAGCTTATGAAGGAGTTATTTCCCTTATTGTAGTTTATCATGGTGTTTGAAATCCCATTAACCTACAGTACGACGCGTCTGCTCTCCTGGACCGAGCCCAGCCTCCCCAGTTAGCTGCTGTCATGAAGGAATGTGAAAAATGGAGCCAAACGAGCAGAAGCCAAGGAGAGGAGGCTGCAGAGCAGCAATGGACTCCCAGCTTCCAGGCATTTCCATATCCACCCCGTGGTTAGAAGCTACCTTCTAAAAACAAAAGCAGGAGACACACAAAAGGGAAGAAAAAATCCCTATTAATCCTTTGAATCTGTATTCACCTCCTGTGAGTGAATGAGAGTTTTTAAAAATATATCTTTTGTCTCGTTTTTCTTTAGTATGGAAAGTAAATTTTCGGTGAGGAACTTGAAAGACTTTATCAGTTTTTCTCCTTCTCTGGAGAACAAAGTGCTCTTTCGTCAGACCTTTTATAACTTTAAATGTGAAGCTCTCTCCCAGCATCATCACTTCTGAAGAGACAATAAAAGCCAGTGCTAATGCTGTCATTTCTCACACCTCTTGCTGCTCCCTCTGAAATCGTATTTGTTTATATTCTGCAGATCTCTTATGAAAGAAAAAGTGGTCAAGCTGTTGAGTTCTTGTACTGTGGGCTATGGCAAAGCAGAGAGCATTTAGGCATTAGCACGTTTTAGAGGGATGCTGATAGCTCTGCAGAAACTGATGTTTCAGAACCTATAAATAAAAGTAATATATTTAAAAAAAAAAAGAAAAAACTTTACTGAAGACTTGTGGCAACAGCTGAAGGACCTTTTCAGCTGGAACAAATCTGAACTTTTCCTTTCTGCTGTCAAACTGCAACCCCAGTAAATCCTAAATGTTTTCTGTGGATTTAGTGACTGGGTAGAGTTACAGTAACTCAAAAGAAATTCGTGTCCTTGCCAATGCCTATTAGTCACACTTGCTGGAATTCTCTCTGCTGTGCTTCTAACACCATCTCAGTGCCATCTGGATCCCTTAATAGCGTCTTCCCAACACATGCATTTTCTGCTCCATTCAGTAGTTTGCTGTTCAGCAATAGGTTTTCCACATGGCCATGTCCTCGCTGCAGATGGGGCCTCTGCAAGACCAGCCCTCTTCTCTGATGCCCACACTATTCTACAAGCCATCATGTACCACCTCAGAAAACATCAAAAACCATCAAAGAAAAAGGCTAAGGGGGCAATGGTGGGTTAACTCTCTGGGAAACTGTGGCGTGAGACTTTTGGAAGTACCTGGATGCTGTTGAAATTTGTGCCCTCCTCCTCTCTTCTGTCTCATCTCTTCCATCCTAACATAGGAGCAGTCTAGAGTGTTCACCTGCAAGACTGGCCGTGCATGGTGTGGTACCTCCTGGTTGTCACAGATGTCATTTCAGTTAAAAGGGTCTGCTGGAGCTGCAGGGTTTTTTTTTTGTCCTTTTTGTTGTTCCTACCACCTTGGGACAGTAAATATGCAGTGGATACGATATAAAGCTCAGTTTGGGGAAATGGGAAAATCCACCATTTGGAGCAAATACAAATTTATCTGTTCTTGCGTAGGATGAGAGGTTGCGAAAGCCTGCTGAGACTACTTGATTAACCTTGTGCCTTCAGAGGCTTCTCCCTGGGTTAAGTTGTCTGCCTTTGATGCAGAAAAAGCCTTCCAGAAATTTGAGGTGATCTTTCCCAGAGTTTGTTTTCACGTTTTCAAACTTCTGCACATAGAATAAGCCAGTAGATTTTCCAGAAATCAATCCAAACGTTTTCCCCCGTATCACTGAAGTTCAGAATGCTCTCAATCCTTTATAAAGGAATGAATGTTTCTTCCTGCCTCATGTCACAGAGCTGCTGTGTAAACGAGCCCCAACATTCACACATTAAATTGAGAGCTGATTATACCCAGATCTTCCTTTACATTTTGTTTTTCTCAAGTGAATTTATCTTGGATTGTTCTTCCTCCTTGAAAGCAACTTTCACAAGTAGCGAGTTGAGGCATGCAAATTGGTGGAAAAAATAGACATTACATTTCTCACCGTGGATGTCCCTGGATAGCGGGAGGATGAGGAGGCAGCACCGGGCTGGCCCTGTACCTGAATTTACTTGGATGACAAATTCAAGCGCCAAGCAAGTAAATATTTTTCAATATTTGACTGCCGTATCTTACCGGCCAGCTGCAAATGCTCCGCTGTGTTTATATATAGCCAGGATTTCCCTCTGCTTCTCTCTCTAACCACTGGGAAGTGCTCCCCAGGGCCGGTAAGCCAAGACAGAATCCTGCAGACCGTTTGCTAATGGTTCTTAGTGCTTTCCTGCTGGAGCTGCAGGACACTTAGCAGTGTTAAAAATAGGTTAGGAGTGGGGTAAGTAGTGCAAAGGAGTGGCGAGTGCTGCCAAACCTCCCGGTGCTGCCAGGAGGATGCAGGGAAGTGCTCGGCTGCCGGGCCGGAGGAAGCAGCGGCCAGGCAGAGCGGGAAGGGGTTGGGGTTGCGGGGGCCCCACTGGTGGCTTCTCTGCCACCCAGTACAAATTGGGGTGCAGGTCTAGGTGTCCCAGGTGGGATATGGTGAAGAGCAGCTGCTGAGGTGGATGAAAGTGCCGGCATCATTAGAAGTAGGATCACTTGAGCCTCCCTTGATCAATGATGTCCCTGATTTTTTGGAAGCGCTTTGTGGAATGGGCTGTGTGTGGTTTTGGGGATCCAGGGAGATCCAGCAAAGGATCCAGGCACCAGCCTCCCTGCGGAGAGGGACTTATATGGGCAGCTGGTCGAAACCTCGTGGCTTATATGGGATAGCAGGCGGCAAGAATTTTTTCCTAAATTAAAATTCCATGAGTCAATAGGTGCAAAGCGCTCGTGAGAGCCACTGTGCCTGGTGCTGCCCCTGCGGAGCTGCCAGGCTGCTGCTCCGCGCGGGGAAACGCTGCTCTGCCCTGGCCTGCTCTGCAATCCACTTAGAAGTGCGCGGCCAAAAGCATTAATTCCACTTTGAATTTCCATTTTTTTTCCCCCGACCTTTTCAGTCTTCTGCTTCTTCAGTACCCTTCGTCCTCGTTGGCTCTGTGTCTCCTCTGGAGATTATTGATGATCCTTTTTAATGGCCTAGACAATGCTAAAAGCCACTTCCGTGCATTTTAGAAGCTTCCAAGAATGAAAAAAAGAGATTTTATAATATCTGAAAATTACCAGCAGGGGTCAGGCTTACAAATAATTTAAGCAATTCAAGCTACATATTTATAAAGCAGACATTTTTATGCTGAACATGTTGAACTTTCAACCAAGTTCTCTGGAAAAGTTTTGCAAGTTTTCCCTCTTATGTGTCTAATCAATAAGAGAGGTGGCTCCGGAGCTGCACCTGAATATTCTGCTGCATGATAATTTCTGAACTGGCAGATGGGCATATTGTTTATTCTCATGGTACAAGGATTTTCAGCTTAATTTGGATCATTTTGAAAGCAAGTATTATCAGGAGAATGTTTAAAATATTCTAGAAAAGGGTCCTGAGAAAATCAGCTGCCAAGATCAGTGTTAATATGCGTTAGCTGCACTGTTAATCACAAGAAGTTAAAATGCAAAAGGTGAGGTTCTTGAAGCAATATTAAGGTTTTTGTGCTCTGTATTTAAATGCAAGCAGAAATGTTCTGCTGCACGTTTTGAAATAATTTGTCATGCCTAGCAAGTCTGCCAGAGTCCTCTGAAGGATTCAGCCATCGTTTGGCTAAAGCTGATATGGCTGATATTATATATTTGACTTTTCAAAGAGCTTTCAGCCAAAGGTCTTAAAGAAGCTTTTTCTGACAGAATAAAGAAGGTTCTTTGTGAGAATATAAAAACTGCGCAGGGTTGGATGTCCCAGTGTGCTCCGTGCAGTGATGGTCTGCAGAGAAGCATATGAGCAGGACAAACCTGCTGTGATGCTCTGCTAGGAAGGTCTCCCATTGGATCATCTCCAGCACTTTCTGACCCAGGGACAATATCTTTGTGTTTCATAAAATATGCTGTAGCTTCCCTCCGTTAATTTGTTTATGTTAGTTTATGCTACAGAAAGTTCAAATACAGAAAATCAAAGAATAAATAATAAATCCTCACAATGTAGAGGGTTTTCCAGTGGGTCCCAGTATAGTTTTTGTCGGGAGCTTGTTGTCCAACACAGAGAGAGGTTTGTGTATAGGAAAGAAATTGAGAAGAAAATAGAATCTCTCATGGTAGTACTGAATGTATGAGTATTGTGTGCACATCTAGCTTTCCTCATAATCAAAAGTCTGCATAAAACTTACAGAATTACAAAGAAGAGCAGTAAAAAGATGAGCAGAAATGTGGAAAAGCCTTGATGGGAGGAAAGACTAAATGGAGATTCTTCAGGAAATAATAGAGGGGGCCTGTAAAGCGCTAGTAGAGAAGGGGAGTGTGGAGCAATTATGCACAACTTTTCATAGCAGAACTATCAGGTACTCAGGAAAGTAATCGCATGTGAAGTATAAAACAAAATGAACAATTTTTCATACAGCACGTAATTAAATTGTGGAACTTTCTGCCAAGGAATGTTGTGAAGGCCAAAAGTATAAATCAAATCAAAAGGAGATTTGACATATTCATGGAGATTTTAGCTGTTGGTGGTTATTAAACATGATGGTCCAGACTCGGTCTCTGGTTCAGGTACTTTCTCATTTGAATATGATGTATACTGAAGTGGTCTGTTTTAATTATACATTCTTTTAATCTTATGTTAATCATCTAATGTTGTATCTTTTAATCATATGTTTTAATTATCTCATTACTATAGCTTTGTGATATTTAACACAGGAGGAATCTGCCAGTGTTTGTGTTTCCCCATTTTACTTGATGATGTGTGGTGGGACATAGCATTTATTACCTTTCCTTTCCTCCAGGCTGAAAATCGAAGAGCTGGAAGCTGAACGCAGCAAGCTGGAAGAGGAGAACAGAGCTCTGGAAATGAGGCTGGAGAAGCTCACTCTGCAGGTAGGAGATGCAGCAGGTCCAGAAAGGCTGCAGAACCTGACACGATCCATTCCAAGGGGACCTCACAGCACAGCTCTCCTCAGGCTGGGCAAGGCTGCTTTAGGAAGTGTGTGCAGGCTGCACCAACTCACCTTGTCTTTGCTTGAACATGGTATGGGTGTGCTTTGGTGTCAGGTTCGATCACATGAGAGCAGTTGCCTTTTTCCTATACATATATCCTATATATGTCCGGAGCCTCTTCTTTTTCTTCTTCAGAATATTAAAAAACACTCTGTGTTAGAAAACTCTCCTGACATAAATCATCAGTTTGCAACTTCATTCATGCCAAAGCAGATGTGCAGACCAGGCTTATCAACCAGTAGTAGTTAAGAAAATTTGAGGTCTGTCTATTTTGATAACTCCATTGCCGTTTTCAGTAGGAGAGACAAGGACTTCCCTCATTAGGTTAGAGTTTTCCAAGCCATGAAGCATCAGTGCTGTTGAGAAGATGACAGGACAGCATCCTGCAGACCACAGAAAGGAGAGGGAGAAGATGTGGAATCAGCAGGGTAAAACAGTGTGTTGCTTTTGTTGTCTTAATGTAGGCGCTTTCATGATTCTTTTCCTGCGGTAGGTGCTGTCCTGTATGGCAGGAGGTCTTCAGATTTGCCTTCTAGTAACGTCAGGGAATTTTTGCCCTTGCTGAGGGCGGAGGGGGAGCCGTCAGCAGTCTGGTGGACTGTCTGTTCAGGCTGATTTCATTTTGATAATGCCTTCCCTGTGCAGAGAGGGAATGAGAACTGTTTGAAGCTTTTCAAATATTTCTTGTTTGAAAGGTGCTAGACTGAGCTGGAACCTGAACCTGTTTGATTAATCAAAGCCCATCCAGCCCTGAGTTGTGGTATCTCTCCCTTCTGTTCTGTCTGGTATGCTGAACAATCCAATGTTGTAGCATTTTATTCTCTTAATTTTTCTGTATTTTTCTTTCTTGTCTTTTTTTTCTTTTCTTTTTGTGTGAGTTGTTTCATGGTAGAATACCTGCAGCTTTGAAATTACCTAGATTTCAGACAGACCATTGATTTTTATCTTGACACCTATTAGACACAAATCAAAGTTTTGATTTTTTTTTTTTTAACTACCAGTTCCTAGAGACAGGGGAAGTGACAGCTTAGATAAAGCGGGGAGCTAAGAGCTGCTGAGCATCTCTGCTGAGCCACGTTTAGTGTGAAACCTGTCACCCGGCTCCCCTTTAATTGGGTTGCAGTCATCAGGAGATGAAAGCTTTGGGCTGGTGTTTGGATGCTGAGGTCTCCAGCACACCCAACAGCAGCTTTGGCTTCCGAATAGGGTGCAGCTCACTCCGATCACATTTAATGTCATCATTGTCTCACAACAGCTCCTGACTTGCCAAGTGGTCCTGACCAGAGAAGTTCCTGTTTTCTTGTCGGTGTCTAGACGTGCTCTGCTTTATTTGTATTGCTGAGACTATAATGTAGCTCTTGAGACAGCAAATCCCAAGCATTTTAGAGTCCACTTTGAGGAAAGACTACCCTTCAGTTTAGTCCTGCTTAATATCTGCCTTCTGGTCACCTGTAGAGGAGATCAGCAGCATTCTGCTAGCTGAGCTTTCAGAGTAAGAATGTAAAACAGTGACAACTCGGGACAAAATGGGACCATCATGTTATGGTAGAGATGCTTTTTCCTTGTATAGGAAGGCTTGGGTGGCACAATAACAATTGCACTGCTCACCAAAAACACCTCGGTAGCTCGTCGCAGGATTCCCAGTGTGGTAGCTCAGGAGCTCTCTCTTGCAAGCTGGTGCTGTGCACGTCGGGGCGTTGTGGAGCAAGGCAGGGGAGAAGGGGAAGGACTTGCAGTCAGAGCAGAGAAAACATTTATGGAGAGGATGAGATAATATGAAGGTGCAGAAGAAGGTAAAGAATACGATTGTCTTGCTTAGCAAGTCTGGGAAAGAGAAATCTGCCTGTCCCCATAATGGCTAGTTAGTGAGCTGAATTAAGGTAATGGTGCCCTCACATCTGCTTTGCCGAAGCTGAGGACATGGCTTTAATTCTTTATTTAACCGGGAGGTTGCTCTATTCTTCCTTAGCTTCTCACTTCACTCTGTGTCTTAGCGGATTGGCTGCCAAAAATATCTTCTCCAAAGCAGCAGTGAGGAGAAGAACATATTACAGGAATATAAGTTGAATGCCAAGGTGCCAGTGTCAATCAGTGGTCAAAATTTCAGCACTCCTTGGAGGGTAAAGCATCAACCTTCCCAGTGAAACTATGTGAATCTTTTTTATTCAGCTGGAGTATCAGATACTTTGACAGCCCAAGAAGCTTAGAATGACTATTTCATAAGTGCATTGGAAATGATTTCTTACAGCTCAAACCCATTAATTTAGGAATGAGCTTAGAAATTCACCTCTTCCATCATTGCTGAGAAATATGCTGAAAAATATTATTATATACTCACAGTATCGCACAGAATCACAGAATGGTTGAGATTGGAAGGGAGCTCTAGAGATCATCTAGTCCAAACCCCCCTGCTCCAGCAGGGACACCCAAAGCACGGGGCACAGGGTGGCATCCAGGTGGGTTTGAAAGATCTCCAGATCTCTCTCTACCCTCACCTTCTTGCCACTCGGTAGATATTCAGGGGAATACATGCTATTTTAGTAGCTAGTTTCATTTAGCTACTACATGAAAGGTACATAGATGGTATGTATTACAGGTGAATTTGGAAGAAGAACCAAGATTTAGAAATGAGGCTTTGGCTGCTCTTACACCATGCTGAACCGAAGTCCATTTAGTTCACGAAGCCATGTGCAGTGAACAAAATGTGAGAGGATACGGCCAGTCTTTAGTAACCCAGAGTTCAGAACTGTCAAGGCTTAGCTGTAAGATGTGTGGAAAGGAGTTCTGCTTTAAAAATGTTTGCCTCCTGTCGCATCCTTTTGTACCTGAGGAGCAGCACGTGGCTTTCACCCATCTCTGCTCTGGCTGCTTTTACCAATGGGCTATTCTTGAGCTACCTTGAACCCGCACTGACTGACCGCAGGGCAAGTGTGCACATTGAAACGCACTTTTATGTTAGATAGGTATGAAATTTGTGCTCCCTCAGCTCTGCATTAGCAGGTAAAGAAATGGAGATATTGATGGCTATCTGCAGCAGCGTGTATAGCATTTGACATCTCTTTGTCTTCTCCCCTTGTGTGGGGACAGCTTGAATTATGGCTGGAGACAGTTTCCACCACCACAGCCCCCCTCTTCCAACACCTCTTGGCTCTTGACATCAGGCTGCAGGTTGCATTGATTTTCCTTCACTGGTATAAAGACTTTAGCATGGATATTACTCGCTGGTCAGATCTTTACGGCTAATAAAACCCTCGGATTGCAAATACACAGGAAGTGGTGGGGTTGTAGAGAAATGATATCCTGCTGAGGGTGCTTCCCTCGGCCATCACCCAGGACATTATCTTAAGGAAAACATTGCAACAGCGTCTCGGGAGAGAAATTCAATTAGTACGTGAAAAGAGCAAGTTTAACCAGACAGTTTTATCTCCTAACCCCTACCCGCCTCTCCTTCAATGAAACCAAAAAAGTTGATACTCTTGAACATGAGAAAGCAAATGCAGTGTTATTCCTTGGCGTATGCTGGGCAGAGTTGCCAAGACTTTAGTAAAGGGTTTGGTTTGTTGGGTTATCCGAAATGATCTGGACTGTCTTCCCGATTTGCTGGAGGAAAAGGGCAGCTTAGAGCAAAAGAGACGAATCAAATCAGTGCTTTTTGGGTAAAGTGGAAGGAAAGACTTGTGGAGAGGGTTCAATTAGCATTTCTTACTGCTAGGAGCCTCGTGTTCACCGGCAAGCAAGCGGATGTGAAGTGTTCCTTATGCAAATACTACTCTCCTGCTTTTCCTGCTCTCCTCTGCTCTTGGTCTTGAAGGAGAAGAGATTCTTCAAGTTTGGCTGCTTCAAGGCAGATTGATTAAAATCAGCTGCAGTTGGACTTAATTGGCTCCATATGCTTGCAGAGGGAGCAGGACTAGTTAGAGCTTCTCATAATTAGTTCACAGCTGGTTGGTGAGGAAGATAAAACTGCAGTTAGAGCTCAGAGAACTGGAGCTATGAAGCTGTGCAGATAAAAGGTAGGCAGATATACATGAGTGAGTGTGTGTGTATGTGTGTATGTATATATATATCTATATTTTATACTAAGATGTGTTGAGGATTAGAAACTTTCCAGTCTGATAACCAGAGGAGCACCCTCATCCTTTCGTATATCTGCATGTGTTTGTATTTATGACACCAAATGGAAGGGATCTTCATTTTCTTATTTTTTTCTGAGTAGAAGGACTCTCATGTGATTGGTGTCAGTCAAGGAAATGTGAACAGGGTCACACAAACTCAGGAGATCTTGGGGACTAAGACTCTATGGGGTAGTTGAGCTGTGCGAAAGGTTCAGGGTTTGGCACAAACTGGTTGGCTTTGGGCCCCTAGTCCCAGGAACCAGCATAAAGGTGGCTTGTTGTGGCCCCCTCTTAGCTAGAGTTCTCCTGAATAAAAGTCCCAGCTAAAACTGTGCATAAAAATGAGAACTTTAAGGCTGGATGTAGTTTGGTAACACATCGTGTGGGAACACTCCTCAGAAGCAGCTCTGTCTGCTAATCAGCCTAAATTATGATATTGGGAGAGAAGGAAGAATCCACAAAGCACCTGGGGACTGCTGGAGAGCACCTCATGCCATCAGAGACATTCATGGCTAATTGTCATGCCAGCATAGCTTGACTGATATATTCTGAGATGTTCAGTAAGATTTGTCCAGCAGTTCGAAATTTCCATCTTTGCCATTGTTATCATCCCTTTTACAGCTTTTTCTTTTTTTCCCCCTTTTCTTCGTAGTCTTTCTGACTGGCCTGGTGTCCCCCTTTTCTAGTGTTGTATTTGAGGAACCAGCAGATGAGCACTGGGCGCTGTGCTCCAAGCACAGATTCCTCTGTGTGATCCCCTATGGC